TCTGTGTTAATAAATCATATATAACTGTATTAGTTACATAAACTATTACAAAATAATTTTTAAGTAAAAAATTCATCCTGAAGAACATACTAATTAACTTTTCTTTATATAATCTTCCTCACATATCTTTTCTAATTAACCCAGAATCCAGAAACCCTATTGTAGAAGTGTGAAGGAGAAAAGGAAAGAATAAAGGATGGATAATGGGTTGTTTGGAAAACAATGAGTGAGGTCCTAAAAAAAACTTAACATTACCTTTTAAAGTAGATTTGACTAAGGAGTTTAGATAGGTACATTTACATGTGCCAAAGATACCAAGATAGCAGCCTAAATACACTTCTTTTATTTTAGAAAATATTATGTGGCATATTATATAACCTAATACCTTCAATATGCACATTAACAAAGTGGCAGCAAATTATGTCAAGTTTTTTTCTGCGTGCTTTAGAGCAGGAATCTATTTATCCCAGGTGTCCATATGACTGCTTTCCCAGGCTTCCTGCAAGGACCAGTCACGGCCATCACATACTCATGGAGTGAACACTTTGGCACCAGGATTTGTAGTTCAAAGATCAGGCATGGGAAAGCATGACACTTACGTATCTTACCTACTCAGAATGAAGCTGTCCTCAACATGGTATAGGACAGTGTTTGCTTATTTTCAACTTAAACATTCTGGATAGTGATGCACATGCATTCACAGTAGCATCTTATGACCCTGAGCTACTTCCACCCCTCATCTAACTCAAGCCATAGGTTAGATGTGCACAAGAACCCACAAGGTACCTGGTTGAAGCAGGCCATCAGTAACTCACATAAGAAAGGTCGATTCTGTCCCAAAATTGCTCCCCCACCTAGCCGCCATTGCATTTATACATATGATATTTAAGAAATTAAGTCCTTAGGTCCAGCTCTACATTTTCTCCAGGAGATCTTTGAGAAAAAAATGCAAATATGATTGGTAGAGAGAAAGGATGGAGACTTGATCAACCTGCTTTCTATTATGTCTTGGTGGGAGTGTGGGTGCTATAGGATTCTGGGAATCAGGATAGTTTGGGGATTAAAGAGAGAAAATGAGGTAGGAAGTTGGAGAGAAAAGAGGCTTTTGAATGGAAGTGAAAGGATACAAAGATAAAGTGAGATTTAAAGATTTCGTGACGACTTTCCTTTACACCATGGTTTTCTCATGTCCAGGCTCATATCAACTATTTATTGTTACTAGAGTGTTTAATGTCTGAAGGAATTTTGTGAAGGAATGCTCATTACTTTTTACACGTTTTAAAGCTAAAATCATTAATCTCTTTTATATCCATCAGCCACAATTTATCTAAAAATATAAATATTTATTTCACAACTAATATTTCAAAACTTATAAATTTAATAAATTTAAATAATTATTAAAGTATATTTAATCAAATTTTACTAGACGTTTATTAAATATTGGAGCCTGATGTATGAGTTTATTTTAATGTCTTAAAATTAGGCAAAATTCATAAATTACTGAAATGATTGCAAAACATTTTATTAATACTTATACATAAACTCCATCATGTATATATTCTTGAGGCATACTTTTATGCTTTACTCAGTTTATAATAATTTTATTTGGCAAGGATTTTTTTTTACTTTTTATACATAATTTTATAATATATCGTACCATAACTTTATCAGATGTGCTGTTCTTCACTGTGCTAGTGATATCGTGATATTCTAAAATCAAACAGACAGGAGGACCATATCACCCAATCCAAAGTCAGTTTCTTTGTTATCAACCGACTGAATTCAGGTTGCCACTTTCAAATGTGGGACCTGTTCAGCAGACTGGGACTGTTTTATAATTAAACATTATTTTTGTTCTATCAATGACACCCTTTAAATTTTCAGCTTTTACGTAAGTTTTTGCCTTTTGAAATATGATACCTTTGCTTGAAATAATGTGATTCTAAAACTTATTGGACAATGTTAAATAAAAAAAAAAAATGAGTCTCCCGTATTTATATTAATAGGAAATAGTACTAATCTATGTTTCACCAAAGGTACATATTCAACAGAAGAATCAAGTTATCCATGTACTAGCAATACCTTATTTTTTAAAGATTATAAAATTTAAATATATTCTATTACAGACCTCTCTCTTTTGTGTAAAGATTACATATGTGTGTGTATACACAAAGACGCATTGTATTAAATATTCTGACTTTTAAGTACTATTAGGGTCACATGGCTTTTTGCAGATTCAACTTATTAATAAAACTATCATAATTTGGCTATTGAGAGTCCCTTAATGCTAGCTTCTTTGTCTCTTATTTTAAAATATTCTAGCTTTCCACTAATAACATCTTGATCCCTTACTCACCCCCACCCGACCAGCCAAGCATAGAATCAGCTATTTTTCAATGACCATAATGCTGCAGACTAAAATCTAGGAACTAGAGGTTTATATTGGATTGTGCCAAATAAGTTCTGGTAGTGGGTAGAATAACGTTTTTGCTAAACCAAATTAGCGACAGAGATTTTTAAAAATCACTTTTCAAAGGTCTCAACCTCACATTAATAGCTTATATTTATTGAATGCTTACTTCTGTGGCAGGCAATGCTCTAAGTGTTTTAAATACACCAGCTTTTTTCATCCTCATAACCAACATATGAGTTGTTACGCTGTAAAATGTAAATCTATTTTACAGATAATACCTGTAATCAAACTCTAATAGTACTCAATCTTTTCCTATTTAATGTAAATATGTATTATATTTCTTTGATGACATACCCAATTTGATTTTCAATTTCTCTTCCTAACTGTAATTATACTATAATCTTTTTTAAAATTCTATATGCTTGCTTCATCAACCACAGTTTTATAATCAATTTATTAACATTTTTATGATATAACAAAAATAAATATTAGGAACAAAAATAAGCATGTAATCACAGTGTTCTGCATTTGTTCTTGTTGTTAAAATCTAGCTAATACATCACTTAATTTTCCTTATGAAAGTTTAAGAGTTTAAGGTACATTGGGTCTCTTTCTACATGTGGAATTTGGGGGCTTACAGTAATTTTTGTGTGTGATTATTTTTGATTATGTTTTTTTTTCTTTTAATACACTATTTTCTCTCTTTTTTATTTATTTATTGGATAATCTATGGTTAAGACCTTGAAAGCTAAATTTTCAAAGTGAATTTGAGACAGGACAAAGATGACTGTGGCCATTATCAAAAGCCGATAATATCTTCATAAGTACTGGCTTTTGCTGAGAACGGTAATAAGGAAATGAAAGTTGGCACCTTTTATCTGGAAATGAAGCAAGAGTAAAAGATATATGTAGACTGTAAAAAATTACACAAGGGCAAAGCAAATTTAATTTCCTTTAAAGTTTTGTTTCCATTGTCACTCAACATATCAACAAATACAAAACAGCAAATGTATGTTATATAATATTTTATTTCATTAGTATATTTAATCTCTATCTCTTCCCAAAGGTAATTTATTTGACTTGCTATATCAGATATATGCTTAATGAGAGATAAATATATAAATAAGTAAATATAGCACCAGTAAAAATTTTTTGTAATAAGAGGTCAAGATAGTGTAGCCATAAATTTCATAATTATTGTGGTCTAAAGAAATATTTCATGGAGATTCTACCATTCAAAGCAAAAAGAGAAATAAAAACATTTAAAGGCTTCTAATTGCCTCCATTTCTTTAAAGGAAGTAAATCTTTTCTTGACAAGTTCTTATACAAATTTCTCATTCAAGGCTTTATATACTGATCTCAATAACATCCCTACATCAATTTAATAGCAAGTTTAAATAGCCTGACATAAAGCCAAATAAATTCTTTAAATGTAACTAGAATTTAATCATG